TCGTGGAGACCCTCATGTGCAAACTGTAACAAACTGTGCGAAACAATGGTTCAAAATCTTAACTTTTGAATACTTGAAAACAAAGTGACAAAGTCAATTAATGACACTAGAATATTGAAAGAAGAAATAGAGAAATACTTACGATGAGCACAAATAAAATCAAACTGCCCCATCAAGGACAAGAATTGCATTAAAACAGCTTTATATTCTTCTCCTGGTGTACCTCCAGCCTGACTGTTGGCATCACAAACTCCTGACTTCTGTAATTTAGTCATAAAGTCAGTTCCACACTGGAAGAATTCTTTCTCGATCCTGGAAACAAAACAATTTTGTTAGTTACAAAACCGGATTGCCGGTACAATTAGTTAATTGAAGGATAATACGGGCGGCAGTTCACTCAAGTTGATAATTACATTAAAAAGTTAAGGTAATAATTTCAAAATTGAGAATGCTGTTACCATCAACATTACGATAACGCAGATGCAAACCACAGTAACAGTTTGTTAAGAATGGAAGAATATATTTCGATTGATGTTAATAATGAATAAGTCTTATACCTAAACCAGTGGAACATTCGATTTCATTACAATGGACATATGAAATGAAAAGGTGGCTTTCCATCATTCACTCCTATTATAGATTTTTGGAAAATAAACTAAAACAGAAACCTGTAATATGCATTGGGAGATTTAAATCTTGGAAAGCAACTTTACGGAAATACAATATTTTACTTTATAACTTTACCTGTATATGTTTCGAATTCAGAAGTAATACATGTTTATATTTTGAATAAGGTTTAATAATATTTTATACCGAACCATACTTACGGACAGGCTTTGTCTTTCGCTGCATCTGTTCCTATTGGAGTACCTGCTCTAGTTTCGTTGTTGATTAAAGACATGAACTCATTGGGATCCAGTTTATACTTAGTTATACATTCGAAGAATCCATTTTTGAAATTTGTTCGACATTGTGATTGTTGTTGTGGCGTGTCGGGTTGATTAGGTTGTTGTTGAGCTGTAATGGTGCCCAGGATATATAAACAGATGGCTGTAATAAAGAATACAATGTAGTCTATAAACGACCAGTTCGTCATACAGTTGGTAACATATGACAACATATTGTTGAAATCAGTCCAAGGACATCTGTTGAAAGAGAGCAAGACCAATTTCAAGATTCGGAGGTATGGGTAGTAATTCTGTTACGCTTATCTATGGACTTGATCGTTCAATTAATAAGATATGAAAGGATAGACAGCGAACATGGGCGTTGTTAGGGTGGGTTTTAAAAGCCAACCACCTACCGCTGCCAACCGGCAGCAATGGGCATTGTTAAATTTAAGGATCGTAGATTTTCATACTACAAAACGAAACTATTCAATTTAGAAGCACACAGAATCTTTCTACCACCTATAAGAATTTTTTCAAAATTAATCCTTGACGTAGACTATAATAATTCTGCGAATGCTCCTCCTGCTAATCCAACAGAATCATCGATATATGTAGTGCATAAAAATCTTCACCAAGACTGGAAGCACACTTCCAGTACTTGGAAAAATCAGGTGTCCAAATATACTAACAATGACACAACTAGATTATGTGCGTTCTCGTAGGCGAAAAACACTTGCTCATAATCATCGGGTCATGTAGGCTAGACTTTTTATATCAGACAGGTAAACGCAGCAGGGTTTTCGTCAATTTCATCACTATTATACATGGTATGACATGAGAACACACGAAAAAAAATGGGCATTTAAGGATCGTAGATTTTCATACTACAAAACGAAACTATTCAATTTGACGGAATTTTTGTTGACGTCAATATTATGGAATCAAAATTATTTTAAAAATGAAACGAAGCAAATTAATATTTCAATTCGTGTTTAAAATAGTTGTTAGTATACGTTCTAATATGAGATGTATCCTTATAAATATTATATAACACAGTTGCTCTTAACCAACATATAGAAAATGTGCGTATTCTGACTGGGACCGAGACTCTGTAGGATTATAAATATGGAAAATATTATTTTATTTTTATTTACAATACAATGAATATGAATAATTCACAGTAAAGCTGTAAACTATCAAATGGTAAACTTATTTTCACGTATAGGACACAGACTAAAACTCTGTAATTCACGACATTTACAGAATGTCTTAATCTATATCGAATTAAGATGGGTTTTTTCTATAATGAAACATCTTACCGAGTATATAATATGACCACATTTTGATTTTTTCTTGTAATACTCCTAATCCGATGAAATCACTTGTCTAGAATGAAATTAAAATTAATTTGAATTCAATTGAAAGGATCATGAAATTTATCAAAATTGTAATTTTTCTATAATTTAATGTCTAATCAGAAACAATTATTAATATGACGTCAATTTAATTAAATATACACCTTTTTTCATTTTTTATCTATGGTTTTACATCTAATTTTCAAATACATCCAAGTCGGTATAGGTTAAATTATTCCTTACACCAGTTCAACTCAGGCCCCTTATACATTCATTGATTCATGATAAAATACCAAATGATTATCAACCTGAAATAACGGAACGCACTTTGATGATATAATACTCCTTGGTTATATTGTACACAACAATTCACATTGTTATCATTAGTTTATATGGTATACTACTCCTTGTTATTGTACACAATCTTTCAACAATTCACATTGTTATCATTAGTTTATATGGTATACTACTCCTTGTTATTGTACACAATCTTTCAACAATTTACATTGTCATCATTAGTTTAAATGGTATACTACTCCTTGTTATTGTAGACAACCATTCAACAATTTACATTGTTATCATTAGTTTAAATGGTATACTACTCCTTGTTATTGTACACAACCATTCAACACTTTACATTGTTATCATTAGTTTAAATGGTATACTACTCCTTGTTATTGTACACAACCATTCAACAATTTACATTGTTATCATTAGTTTAAATGGTATACTACTCCTTGTTATTGTACACAACCATTCAACAATTTACATTGTTATCATTAGTTTATATGGTATACCACTCCTTGTTATTGTACACAACCATTCAACAATTTACATTGTCATCATTAGTTTAAATGGTATACTACTCCTTGTTATTGTACACAATCGTTCAACAATTTACATTGTTATCATTAGTTTATAAGGTATACTACTCCTGAGTTTTATTGAACATATCGTTTCCACAATCTACATTGTTATTATTAGGTGAAAATAGGAAAAGGATTGTTTTCTAGATCTTATCTTTGTATGCATCGGGGACACTGATCAAATCAAATTGCATCATTCCTGTTAGACGTCTGTAGTTCCTGTAATTCCACAAAAAAAGAAGTCACCAATCACAAAATATGCTTTATCAGATAAGGCCCTTGCCTGATTAATGACATCATTAGTAACACACAGTTTTAGTGGAATCTCCGGAACCATAGACGTCGGATTGAAAATTGGAATGGTGCAAATTGATGCTATCATTGTATTCATTACAAATTTAGAAAACCTGATTATAAACCTGTATAAGAGTTTCAATAAACAAAAAAAAAAAAAAGACGCGATCTTTTAGGTATGTATATGATGAAGACTTACACCGTATGATAATTAGTTACACTTAATGAGCTTTATATAAGTTGCATTTTGATTCAGTTCATATTTTTCCAAAAACATATCCAGCGGCACATTGGTGTTGTCGATTCTTGTAACCGTTTCCGGTTGAAAATAGACGGCAGTTGATTGGCTACTGTAAAAATATGACAGTAGATTTCGCCTCCACGTCAAGTATGGGATGGGAGTTTCAAGTCGAGTTTCCTTATTATTCTTACCAATTAAACAGTAATCAATTATCTATAATTAAACAAGTGACAGGATTCGGCTGTCAGCTATTACAATCATACAGCTGAGGGAACGGGCAAAGAGAGATAACTGGTGGTGCAGAAACGTTGCGGGATTCATAATAGGGTGGTGCTTTATTACGTTTTATAACAGTTTATTATAGCTTCTTTGATGTCTTCAAAAAACTCTGAGATTATTATGAACTTATGAAAATACATATACATCTATGACTGCAAGAAGTTTTCCCTTTACATTGAATCTTACATTATTATCACTATTATTATTATTACATCATTTATTATAATATTGTATAGAATTGAATCGATATTATTTTATTGTATTGATATGAATTGTATATTTATTTGTTATATATTTTCAAATTGTACAATAACATTATGTACTGAATTGTACGTAATACAAAATAGATTGTCAATTGTTCTATGGGCGTGAGTGAGCACTGTACAAATGTAAAATTTATATCTGTGTAACTTTCCCCTACAGTATGCCTTATAAACATGTTAATAAAGATTATCATTATTAAGGTTTCGACATTCTTATAGATCAAAATTAATATATAAGTTTATGATAACCAAAAACTGACTAGCGGATATACAGTCTGACTTAATGCGAGACAAATTCCACCACCTCAAAAAGACGCGATTGTGCTCATTAAAGGATGAATGGTTAAAAATGAAGGCAGAAGAGATCAGGGTGCCGAGCTCTTCAACTCCGGTTAATAACTGCAGGGTGAGATATCACTAATAATGAGGCAATAAATCGCGGATTGACAATTCGAGGTGGCAGAAGTCATTGGACATTAGTAAATGGGCGGGCAGTCAGTCGCTTGCGGAAGTTTACTGAGCTCCTCTGTATGTGCTGGATTGTTTACCCAAGAGGAAAAGGCGAGAAGCCCAGCTGTGACGGTATAGAAGTTGAGATCTTCTATAAGGTCATCCTAAACAGGTCGAATACCTTCTAGATGAGACAGTATCAGAAAGATAGTATGGTTTTCTCAAGAAAAGAGGGACAGTTGACCGGTCCAAAAGAAATATCAAAAACAAAGAATGGACCTCTACATCCTCTTTGTCGACCTCACAAAGGCATTTGATACAGTATCCCTCCTACATGGATATAACACACACGAACGTAATTCACAACCATTTTGAATCTCTTCCTCCACTTAATAAGTCGAATTTTTAAAAAGCTATATTGTTTAAACTAAGACATTTTTAAACCTTTAAATGCGATTTGAAGAATTTGTTGAAATATTAAGACGAGGAAGATATTCAAAATGTCTGTGAACTACGTTCGTGTGTGTTATATCCATGTAAAAACCATACGGTAGTTTCGTATGATATTGTCCCGTATTGGAATCCCACCCATGATGGTGAAAATAATCATATGCTTTCACGATGACATGAATGCAAAGCCAGTCAACGGCAGAATAAATGATGAGTTTTTCGTCACTAACGGGGTCAGGCAATGATGCGTTTTTGCTCCAACACTCTTCAGCTTCCCTTTTAGCATGATGATTCTGCTTTCAAACTCAAATCCAGCATACCATATACAGGAAAGATGGAGGTATACGGCTGAAGGCAAAGACTAAAGTCACTCGTTCAGCCCTCCAGTATGCTGATGACTGTACTATTGCTGCCCACTCAGAGGATTTACGAACTAAACGAATCAAGTGTATAATGTTAATATGAAACTGAAGTAGACATTAACAAATGGAATTGTGACGTGGAGACCAACTTCTCAGCTCTGTCCCGGTGTTTGCAATCAAAAATTTAATCAAGTATCTTTGTAATATTTTAATAGTAATTCTTACAAATTATAAAAAAAATACATCAAATAAACATCATTTCATTGGAAAAAAAATTCATTCAACTGGCCTTTAACTGACCTCCTTTCTTGAACTGTCACGTGACAAACTCTAAGACGAAAGTCACATGACCATGATCAAGTTAAGGAGGTATATTTATTTCAAAATCAACAACCTCAAATTAAACCACAACCATAGTGAGGTTTGATGACTTTAAAATTAACCGTGTGAACGTCCCTTTATTCCGTCTTTAAACAGACATCATCAGGGAGTTAAAGGCCCCTACACTCCGCCAATTTTCTTCAACAAGCATAAAAATAAACCCTATTAAAATCTTTGATAACAACCACTAGCAGTTTGTAATAGTGATTGGTATTGGTAGATATAGATTACATTGTTGTGAGCTTTCTGAGGTAAGACATTATCGGCTCATAGACGTCTATTTGTCATTTCCATCTGCCGTAATTATTGGTTAAAGGATCACAAAGTTAGCTGCCACTTGGCCATTTTCCGGGCATAATAGTCAAATTTTATAAAACACCTTTTTATTAAGTTATCTCCACCAAAATGGCTTCATAGAATACATGTAGTTTCTTATTGGATTTAATCAATTGAACCATCTTAATATATTAACATCTGATTTCGTGATTTCTGACCAAATCGTCCATCAAAATCGTGTATTGGATCGTCAACAAGTTAGTGTATCGTATAAAGGAAGAACGATGGATGATATAAACAGGAAAAGAAATACCAGTTTAATATATTAAGATGGAATTATTTAAATAATGTTTAAAATAAATAATGATGAAGTCCTGAAAACATGACAAACAAAGACGTAAACACGATGGAGACTGAAAGGGCGGATGCTGAACCATCTACAGATGACGAAGGATCTCGGTGTTGTCTGTTGAACTGATCGGCATGACAAACCCTGTCTAAATTAGCCTTCTCTAATTTCTTGCATTCTTCTGGTAATAATCCACATTCCATTTCTGTACGTAATCCAATAACTCCTTTGTTACACATTGGGTGTACTTTTTGTCTCCATTGATTCAGATCGCATCCGACATGTTTGGCGCGGATTCTGAAATGAAAAAAGGACCAAATAGAATAATATAAGGGCGAGTGATCACACAGGAATGACAATAGATTATTGGTTTTATACGCAAGGAATAGATAACGAGAACAGCGATGTTGCAGAAAGTTGATTTCGCCTACAGCGTTAAAAGAAAAGTAGCTGTAGTGTCAATTTGCAGATATGCAGCTGGTAAATTGGATGCAGAGGTCGAAGATTTTAATCCAAATGTTCTTTGTGGTTCAAGGTTTTACTATTGTTCTGTAAAAAGCACCAGATTATGATGTGTGGCAATTTGGTTGGGAATTATTCCTAATTCAAGTGTAAATATAACCATTTTGAAGTGCAATTTACCTGCAAAATTCTTTGTAATATTCGGCTTCTTCCATACTGGTGTTAGCAGCTTTGTACATTAAATTGACCATTTCAACTCTTTGATCTTCAGCACAATCCTCCACACCTTTTGTTGTGTTGGCAAAACATTGCAGACCGGACAAATACACTACAACGACAAAAGGAAATAGTTCAAACTTAGTTAATATAGTTCATACCTAAGTATGTTTTGGTTCCCCTCTATAAAAACTACAGTTTTTAGATTTGGTGAAAGCCCATAGGATGTCCTTTAATATGGTTATAATTGCTCTGCATATAGGGAAAAAAAATGGATTGACCCATGAAAAATCCTGACAATACACCAATTCCTTTACTGCAACTAAACACCATTGTCTTCAGAGATCTGACTTGTCCACCTGAACAATCAGGTCTGGCTACAGACCAGCTTTAAATGTTGCTACCTTCCTGCCTTTTCTACCCCCGACCTGTGATTATATTGTGTTTATGTGTCCTAATAATAGTCAACAGATTTAGCTTCCTTACCTTTGGGATGTTTACATAAAATACCAACACCTTTCTCCATAGCTTCAATATCTAGATTAATACCACGGAGGAGTTCTGGAGCATCAGGACAAGTGTCTCTTTCATCTTTCATACAACTCAACAGTTGGTCTTTATGTCTGGAAAAAGATAGATATGACCAAGCACAAGTGATAAGAGGTTTGAATACGTCCGAAGGAGATACAGGCAAAGCCGAAATAGATGCGAATGATCACAAATGCGTGGCAAGCGGTTTGTCCTAGATACAGGCTAAGCCGTCTTCAATCTGAAGTAGTCGAGTCCGAAATAGAAGGCAATGATCACATCTGCGAGATAACCGGTCTCAATCGTCTGGAATTTCACATATTTCAGACAATCCTCACGTGTAATGCTCATGTCATCGGGTAATAACTAATACACTTACAAACAATATTGGTCAACGTCTTCTTTCTTTGTACCAATAACAGCACCTCGTCCAGCAGTAGCATTAGATAAAAACAGATTTGGGTCAAGCTCGGCTGTTGTGTAACATTTTCTCAAATTCACTAAGACATCTTTTCTACAAGCTATAATGAACAAGAAAATTTCAGAAATTTAGTTGAGGCAATTAAAGATAGCTAACAGTAGCTCTCCTATTGTAGAATACCAAATAAGAAGATCAAGCAATGACAACTTTCTTTTCGAGGTAATCAACAACAAGATCAACACGTATAATATTAATATAATAGTCAAATCTTCTCTTGTTGAATAACGGTTTTGTACATGGATATTCTTTTTGCGTTCCTTTTCAGTGAGATCGCTTACTTTGGGAGAATTAACCTCTATGTCCAATGGAAGATGTCCTGTAGGGTTTTATTCGAAACGCGAAGGTGAAATTTCTAAATGTAAAAAAACTTACGATGAGCACAAATAAAATCAAACTGTCCCATTAACGACAAGAATTGCATTAAAACAGCTTTATATTCTTCTCCTGGTGTACCTCCAGCCTGACTGTTGGCATCACAAACTCCCGACTTCTGTAATTTAGTCATAAATTCAGACCCACACTGGAAGAATTCTTTTTCGATCCTGAAAGATACAACAGTATAATATTGTGTATTCATGAAAATATCAAATTAGGTATGTCTTTAAGTTCGAATGGAAGAAATGGGTTACAAGTAGAGAAGCTATAGCCTTACTTTAATAATAAATACTTCACTGTGCTTAATACATCAAGTGTAGAGCGATATAGAAATACAACTGTAAGATAGTGCTTAATACATCAATTGTAGAGAGATATAGAAATACAACTGTAAAATAGTGCTTAATACATCAATTGTAGAGCGATATAGAAATACAACTGTAAAATAGTGCTTAATACATCAATTGTAGAGTATTATTGAAATACAACTGTTAAAATAGTACTCAATACATCAATTGTAGAGTGATATAGAAATACCACTGTTAAAATAGTGCTCAATACATCAATTGTAGAGTGATATAGAAATACCACTGTTATAATAGTGCTTAATACATCAATTGTAGAGCGACATGGTGAGTTATGATGAGTTAAAGGCACGACAAATTCGAACGAAATAGTACAATCGAATTTATAGGTCTTACAGAGATGCATTCAGGGAGTTTAAATATCAACTATCCACTTGCAATGGAAGTTGTCAGCAGGTCTCGGCGTAGCAATGTATCATCAATTGAAATTTTAACCAAATTAAAATGTAACTATTCACTACATTTTTTGCAACAATTGTTTTTACATATTTAAGGTGGAGTGTGAAACATGACGACTAGTCACTGTCGGAGATTACAACAATTGTTTTTTTCATCTTGCCATTATCTTGAATATAATACAATACAGCTTTCAAGGAAATGTGAAATTTTTACAGTGAGTCAACCTTTAGATTGAATAAAGTCTTTAAATGACATTTAGCAATTGTGAGTACGATATATACACAACAGCGATCACTGGTTAAAATTTTATGCAACGTTTCGACTTCCTAAGCTAGAACTTTTACGTCTTTTCAGTGTTTGGTCAGTGAGCATTTTCTTGTCATGCCAGTTTTTGCCATGTTGTTTTGAACAAGGCAACTAAGACATTGATGCCCAGATATGAAACAGTCACGATTCGAAATAAAAACAAGTTAACTTACGGACAGGCCTTGTCTTTAACTGCATCTGTTCCTATTGGAGTACCTGCTCTAGTTTGGTTATTGATTAAAGAAATGAACTCATTGGGATCCAAGCTAAAATTTGAAATACACGTGAAGAAACCATTTTTGAAGTTTGTTTTACACTGTGACTGTTCTTGTGGGGGTTGTTGCTGAGCTGTTACAGTGCTAAGTACATATGTACTGATAGCTGAAATATAACAAATACAGGTTTTGACAAGAATGACATGGTTGTGTATTTACTTCTTAAATCATCATTGCAAACATATAAACTCAAAGTGATACAACGATACATTTACTGAACAATTAAGATAATTGATACACAAATCTTTAGGGCTTATTTAAATCAAAATCGTATCTCGCTGGCCATATCGAGGTCATATGATTAACTGAATGTTCTCTCTTAAAGGTTGTGGATTCCAAAGCATGCCTTTCCTCAACGACTCATTCAAACAATGTAAAATCTTTGTTATCATGGTAATACATAGCCTACGATTCTCAGAATAGTAGTAAACCATTAGTTCCCTACACTGTCAATCAATGTGATCCAAACTATTGACTCTACTTAATACCATACCATAAAACGTAATATCATTGACAACGTTTCAAAGTTCTGATTTTAAAACGTTCAGATTGCAAACATCGCACACCATAAAGGCACTTAACAAAGCTAACTTTCCCAATAGCCCTATCAATGTATTTATCAACGTTTAAAAACGTATTTTGAATTGAAATAAAATTTCAATCTTACCAAGTATGATATATGACCACATATTGAGTTTGTTTTTTTCACTTAATACTACTGATCCGATTAAATGAAATGACTCGAATGAACTTCCAACAATTTGGATTCAATTTAAAGTATCATGATGGTCAGTCAGTCGTGGAAAATTGTATAATTGTTTATAATTTTTAATATCCAATCATTGACGATCATTACCATGACGTCATTTTCATTTAATGTACACCATCAACTTTTTTAAATGGACATTGAGAATACGATAAATATATACAAGTTGTTGTAAGTTATTTTACAATTTTTGCTACCTTCAATTTTACGAAAATTATTTAAAATAAATTTATGATTATATCAGTAACTATAAAATTGATAAAAGTATCAAATTAAATAAAAGGAAAAGTTAATTGGCACGGATTTAAGGATTCAGTAAATGTCAATTCGACCTACACCGTATGATACGTAAGTCCTGATGTCAATTTTAATGAGTTTTTGATTGGTTGTATTATAATTAGACCCGGAAGTAAACTTTCACTAGTAATTAAATTTTGACATGAACTTTCTCATGTTATCTTACACAATCTCTGGTTAGAAACATTTTTTAACCAAAATAACCCGCGGCAAATTCATTGTACATATTCTGGATTGTTTTCGGTAGGACATTGGAGAAATTTGATTGCGTACTATAAATAGATGGCAAATCAGAACTAGGGTTCGGGTTTGACATTGAAAAAATAAATCGACCTATGATGCTAATTATACAAGCTATTTTTTAAGGTAATCTGTTATCTCTAATTATGCAAGTGACAAGTGCTACTCTAATGATGAGGCTGCTGCGTGGGAACCTAGCAAGGGGAAATAATCGAGGGTGAAAAACGATGATACTCGATGATACAGTATTGGTGGCATCATTCCTTAAGTATTTGCTTTACAAACTTATAGATTATTAGCCATCTGCCATAACCAGATTGCCCGTAGCACGAAATGTTTTTCTGGCGATTTAACATAAGTAAAGTAACATCAGACATGGCAAGACCAATATTCAATAGAAACGTCACTGCTCGGTCCGTAAAAGAATAACAAAGCGTTTGATGACTTCCCCAAATATGTTTTATCCAATAAGGTCAATCAAATTCCCACGATCCAGCATGAATTATGTTATAAAGTTTAACGAAATAATCGTTCCATACATTTCAGTAGGGAGTAAATATGTTGTTTAATAAAGTACATGAAAAAAGTTCTAGGAAAGTAACTAATACTGAATTTGTGTGTACTATTAACATGAATGTAGGTCAGGAGATGAAAATTTCAAAAAAACAATAATGCAAAATAAAAGTTTGTATTTGATAAAAGTGTTTATTTTTCATTTTTTTCGCCAATATCGCCATTCATTATCCTTTGATATGTTTTTTATTGACAAATGGTTCGATTTTCTCTTTTTAAAACAATAGAACAAATGTGTCGCGTTTTAATAAACTACAAAATTAAATAAAGTTTTATGTCTAACAAATCTGGCTCTAATTTGACGAATAATACGGATAACGCTAGCGTTCTAAAACAGATAAAATTTCAAATATTTTCAATATCTTCTCTATGTATATGTCACTATGTCAGTTGATAAATACAACGAGGATATGAATATAAACTAATCTATAGGTTGTTACAGGATGTTATTTTTCTTTCTTCACTAGCAAATCTTGAAACAAATGTGTTAAAGAATTTTTATTAATTTAAATGGTGGTGGCTCATTGGATTAAGGTGGGAATGATAATAATAATAATAATAACTTTATTTTGGCAACCCATTTAGACAGAATCTAATTTTCAATAGGTCATACTAAACTACAAATTATGTACAAGACTTCAGAAAAAATAAAATAACAATAAAAAATATATATACATTAACTACTATATGTTTCCCACGAAACTGCGAATTATATACTAAGTATATAATAAAAATACAGAAAATTTCATAAAACATATATAAATTTACAATGCATCCCTGTTGTAAAAAAAAAAAATAATTTGATAATATTATTTTCGTTCCTTTAAAATAATACCAGACTCATTAAGACAACACTAATTCGCCACAGGGTTCCAGATCACTAAATAGCAGCCTTGGTCATGTTATTGGCCATTGTCTACTCTTAGCTACCCATTGTTATGATATAATTCGTCAGTAAAAATCAACAAAACGGTACCAAAACCTTTTGCTTTATTCAACGTTGAGATAATTTTACATTTTATTTTTAGTTCACGAATATTTCATATAAAAATGTTTTTTTTTTTAAAAAAGTAAATATCATTTAATCCTGTTAAAAAACGGTAAATAAATTTAAAACTTGCCGCAAGAAATAATTTGTTTTGACACTAATTAAGGCTAATAATTAATATTCGATTAACGTCAGTAATTTTCTGTGAAATCATCGCTTCCGCTGATTGATGTGATGATATATTGTACAATTCATAAATAGCCAGTGGGTAGGGATGGTTATCATGCATTATTAGTACGTATTGAATAAGTGATGGGTGTGATGGTCGAAAACAGGTTGATTCTAAAGAGCACTAAACACGTCTGAGTGTCCTTGATTTTCAAGAGATTTTTAAATACATGGCAGGCAATTCAACTTGTTACCGATTGAGCTATGTCATTATTCCATTTTGGTACATATATTCTGTGTGTCGTAAGTCTTTCAAACTCTTTTTTGACAATATTCAGTATCAATTTGGCGTCTTTCCAAAGAGCTTTATCGAGATATTTTTTACCTTTTCAGCAAGATCTGGTGCCCGAAACATCTTTGGTGCACGAATGCCTCTATGATTGATGCGTTTTCGTAAAATCATATAACTTTTGATTCTTCCATCAGGCTTTGAAGTCATTGTGGGTCATTGATATGGCTATTCGAAACATGGAACTTTGATTGGGTGTGAGACAAGGGCGTCGCCTTTGCTTCTTCCTATTGCAATAATCGGTTCATGTCCTACAAAAAGTAAATCAAATGACATTCTCTTCAATTTCAGACACAGGTGTTTTATTCTAGTTCTTGAAATTATCCTTTGATACTGATTCCGTCACGGTGATTGTAGTGATTGGTTAGACAAGGTTATAGGCAAAGGCTTAAAAAGCTTCCAGATGAAGATGCATCATAGATCTTTGACGTCCTTTTCCACGGTCATGATGGAAATGAAAAGATTGAAATTTAAACCAATCTGCTTTATTGAATAATAGAAAAAAATATACACAATACAAAATTATATACAAAAATTACTTGCGTCTGAACGCCGCATGTCAAACTTGCTTGACAATACAGACGCCTTTACAAATGGGACTTTATCAACTACTGTTTTCAATGAAACCAAATTAAAAATATTATAATAATGAAATACCATGAATATATACATAATGAAAATGACAAAAAAACCATGATAAAAAATGAAATTTAACACCCTACAAAATTTACAAAAACCTATTTCCTAACGACACTATCCGTCAAACAAAGATTCATTCAGTCAAACGGTTAAATGACGTCATACGAACATTTGTCATGATATTTAAGAAGTCATTGCTGGAAATTCTAAGTTATGGATTATTTTACATTTTAGAGCAAACGTCAAGCCTTATTCCATATTTTCCTTAACCAAACTAATAATCAAAGGTTTTAATCGAAATGAATTTCAATAACTTTTTCAGACCACGGACTCAATTTAGGTTAATTTTTCATAACAGACGAATGTTTTGAAAGAAAAATCACGAAATATAGTTTTCCAATTGCTTTAAATGTACATTTTTATTTTCTAAGGATTTAACAAATCGTTTTAACTTCAAGATATCAAAACTAGAAAGTTCAGTATTTTAATTGGTCTAACTCTAGTGTTTAACTGCTTGGACCAACCATAATGCCTGCCAATGTTAAGTTATGATATCTCATAGTTATGCCCCATGAGTGTCAGAATTAAACACATCAACACATTTAGGATCTAGCAAACACAGAAACAAATAACATGGCAAACAATGTTGTAAGGGTGATAGTGGTAGAGGCGGCACCGGCAAATTGAGCTCTCTGTTCTTGATGGAAATTCATGGGGGAGCAATGTTGTTGGACCAAACTAGGGAACAAGTTCATACAATAATCAGGGAGTAATCGGCATTCCAATTCTGTGTGTAGACCAAGAATGGCAGGATGGCAAGGTGCGTGTTGGCGTCTTCTCCAAGCTCCCATTTCACAGTCCATCAAACTCAGACGAATACTGAAAGGGTGAAAGAAAAAACATGAATATTTACGTCATAAACTCAGGTGTCCGATGTTTCCCTAAGGATACAATACTGCAATATATAGACACCCTTTTAATATCACCCAGAGAAAATTATTGACCACCTTCCGAAATGTAACCCATATAATTAGGTGACTTCTGAAATAAGAGTTAATCGCCCCATAGTTTGCAACTCAAAGCGTGGCTTTGATATATTCAGATATATTTCTGTTATGACATTGTAATCACCACAGAAGATATGAGAGTACCCACCTGCATTCTTGCATATAGATTTGTTGATCGGTAAGAGTTTGTTGTCTCTCCAAAATTTGCATGTTGGTTAATTTATTGTCCATTTCTCGGTAACAGACCTGAACCTCCTGGGTAGGGTCGTTGAAACATTGGAGACCGTGAAGATATACTGAAAGGTAGAAATATGAAAAGGTTTAATGCTGCAATGGACATATATTTGGATGAAAAGATCCTGAGAACAATTAATTTTCAAAGCAACTGGTACAAACTTGTTAATCTGATCTATGGCTGAGTTAAGTCAGTTGCTCGTGCTCTACATTCCTGTTAAACTGAAAGTCCATTTCGGAGATTAGAATCTGTGACTATACAGTTGATCCAAATAGGTTAATTTGTCAGGTGAGATGCTGTGAATTGCACATCGACCAAGAGAGGATTTCGTTTGATCAGCTTATCTAGTTTCTCGAAGAACAAAGTGTACTAAATGTAGAAATCTATTATTTAATAAAAGAAATATGGCAGTCTTACCATTAGGATGTTGACAAAGTAAATCAAAAGCTCTTTCTAAGGACATGATGTCAATTTTCATCTTTTTCATCATGTATTGTCCATCGGGACAGATGTTGATTTTATTCTTGATGCACGACAGTAGAGATTGACGATTTCTAAAACGAAAAATAATAATAAGTTAGTTGTGAGCAATAATTAGAGTCAAAGCCGTCGCCAGGAATCTTCAATGAAAATGAAATTATATTGCCGAGATTGACGCCTGATGACGATGTCTAGAAAATTAAGGCCTAAATGAATTTGCGGTGAGAGTCATAGTTTCAAGTAAACCAGTGTACAGTATACATTGCAGTACAACTATCGGTTTGTTGATTCCAAAGAGATCGATTTTTAAAATTAATCGTTAAAAGAAAATCGGGTTTTATAAAAAGCAGCCTAAAGTAGTCCAATTCAATCTATGACATTTTTGTTTTTATATAAATTGATTTCTGGGTCCAATAGCTTAGTTCTATTCACGCATGACAAATGTGATCGAAAAATTAAAAAAATCGAATAATTTAAAATTAACTATTTCATGACAAAATTAACAAAATTCTTGAAAGAGATCAAAAGAATAGCAAATCGAAGTGTTCGTTTCTATGATGTAAATTCAATATTGAAAGTAATTAAAGAACTTAAAACTAACCGTGCATCGTCTTGGAAATATTAAAGTTAAAGAAAGAGGAAGGACCAGTCGGATTCAAAATGGCCGAAGAATAATTAGCTAAATTTTGTCCAGGGGAAAGTAATTAATCATATTGCTTGTCAATCAAATTAATTAAAATCTTGTATTAATCATAATTAGCTATCTTCAAAGAGAACGGATAGATACGGAAGTTGGACGTGCTCCTTCGCTGTATTCTATTCAATATTATGTCATATCATATCATATTGTACTTACAAACAGAAGTCATGCACTTGCTCGTGCGTAGAACCAATAATACTGCCGCGCCCCCTGGAAGCTTCGTCTAAAAACGTCTGTGGATTGATCTGAGAATTACCACCTTTCATGGAGTAGGAGAAGCACTGGCGAATTTCTTGTGTCAGGGTGTATCGACAAGCTGAAATATAAGACATTTATGATATACATTGCACAATAGAATTGGAAAGAGACTAAATCAATCGCAGTAAAATAGGGAATTTTTTTATCTGCACCAAAATTCAAATATTGTTCTCTAAGATAAGGGCCCTTGAAATATACAAATTCAGACTTTACTTTAATCTCAATGAGAAACAAGTACTTTTATTTCAAACCCGATATTTAAAAATGTCTAATCTTTGATTAAGCATATAAGATAACTGTTATTCTTCAAGTCTTTGAAAAGAAGGAATCCTGAGAAAACAGTGATAGGTCGATATAATTGTCTTGTGACTGCAGGGCATAGTAACAATATTATGAATTTTGTAAGCAATAATAGGGATTGTCGCCTCTTTACTTCAAGGGACATAACACAGCAATCAAACGTTTATAGGGTTATAGGTTACCTCCCTTCGTTTCATCCCAATTGTTGGTAATGTACGAATTACATCCAGAGGAGCAAACATGCCCTGACTCGTTATTGCGAAACTGGTAACTTACGATGGGCACAGACTCTGTCAAATTCACCGAATATGCTAGCAGCTGTTAACATGAGCTGTTGCTGTTCCATTGGGCTCATACACATGGTGCTGTTTCTCATAGTAGCTGCTATCATCTTACCACAGGAATCTATAGTCATTCTCGATCTATAATTAGAAACATGGATAACTGGTTTTCACTTGCATCTTACCCCCATGAATGAGCGCTTTGAGTAAGTTAATGCCTTGGGATGATATCTGATATTTTACATCTAACACGAGGTTATAAAGTATAATGGGAGACAATTCAACTATAAGACCACAATATAAGATCATAAAAAGGTATGCTTTCGTATATGCAATAGCAAGCTTGAAAATTGATTCAATTAAATATAATGCCTAAAGATTGTGTTTAGCCAGTGGGCCTACTCTAACCGCCCAATACTAGCGACCACTGGCGCAGAAATAATTGCTGTGCAGATCAAATTAAGATTGGTTTTTGGACAGGAAATCATGGTGAATAATACTATTCACAAATACAAAAAATATATGTTACTTACAGACAAGCTCTGTTTTTAAACGCCTCAGTTCCCTCTGGTGGAGCACTTCCTCGTGATCTGTTGGAAGTCAGATACAACAAATTCTGATAGTTGACACTGCCGTTCTGTACACACTTCATGGCATTGTTGACAAAGGTTTGTTGACATTGTGAATTGGAACCTTGTTGACAGGTGGCGAGATCAAATAGAACCACCAAGACCACAAAGCATCCAGCCGCTAAAAGTAAAATAAATTGATCGATGTCAAGACACACCTACGAAATAGAGTCGCTTTGAAGTTTTAAGTTTTAATATCAAACTAGGATTTAGAAGGACAGCTGATTAGTAGTTCCAAACTCAACGATAGCATCAAAAGAAATTTACTGAGGCGAAGGTTTTGGACAGTCAATTATTTTAAGTTGATTTCAAAGGAAAGAAGAATGTAATTCTCGATGCATTTGTAAGTAGAATAAGAATACGAAATTAAGTAAAAATATCATGATCAATACATATAGGAATGAAAAAGATAGTGAAGCAGAGATACGTGTACATGTTTATATTCCATTCGTTATTTTTACTCACTTGTATGTATAGCCAATTCAGATGAAATATTAAAATTATAAATTATGATATCTTACCTAGGAGTTGTTTAATAGCCATATTGAACTGTGATTGACTTGTTTGCTCCAAATAACCGAGACTGAATGATGATCAGTGGATGAGGGTTGCTTATAAACGACCCAGGGATGCTATGTGAGGAATGTATGCGGTAAGGATGTAAGGAATCTCCATCTGAATCCATCATATTCACTAGGAAGATGTCAATATTAAGATACAAACGTCAAAGGCACGCGAAATATTACATATCATTTAATTAGTGAATATGTCATCTCTTAATTAATGGCAATAATTAGTCGGCAGTTCAATTAATATTCACAAAGATGCGAAGAAATATTGTATTGTATAATAAGAAAGTTTTTGATAGATTTGATAAGTTAATTAAATTCTATTTGAAGTCACCGTCAAACAATGTATTGGTCACCTTTTTCATGCCTCCAGGCATATTGTTAATATTTTAATTAAGTCGTAATTAAGACAGTGGACTATTGGACTAGACTGTTTAAATATTTACTATATTATTCATATTTATTTTTATTTATTAATATATTTATTTATTTTTTATGTTTTTTTAAATGTAAAGATAATACAACTTAACGTCAAGTATAAGATGAGTAAAATTATAGCAAGAGTTGCACCATCTCGACCAGTGCTTTACATAGAAGTTCCTAAGAACTTCCTCACACTTAAAACCATCTCATATAAGGTCTTCTATTGCAATACTTGAAAGATAAAAATGAAGATCTCATTAAAATCTTACCAAGAGTTGTGCCCCTTGACAAATTTATGAATAAACATGTCCTGCTGAAACAAAACGTACTGGGAAAACCTGAAACGATTTGAACCTTAATCTCATGTGTCTTGTGTTCAGCCTTTGTTTTGATTATTTCTATGAGAATATTAGCACTATTTCTTGGTTGGTGTAGTTTACCTTGTCTTACCAACTATATAGTATTAAGATTAATTGTAAATATTATACACATAACACTTTTAGAAAACCTCTTAACAATCCCTTTAATAACTAGGTGAAAAAAACTCTGCCATTTGATCAGTGATGTGTATTTTAAGCGTACTATAATGTTGGAGGTTGATGATTGATCAGCGGTGAGCGTCAGTGAATCATGTAAATCTGGATTTTTTTTTTTGACATAGATAACTCAGTTTTTCTACGTTCTAAAAAAAGTGATGGATTTACTAAGATTTGCCAGAAGGACTTCGCCTTTCAGATATTCTTTCAATCAACTTCTTCATTTATATCTATTTATGACATATTAGATGACTCAGATTTTCTACGTTCTAAAAAAGTAATTGATCTAGTAGGATTTGCCAGAAGGACTTGGTATTTAAGATATTCTTCCAATCAACTTCTTCATTTATATCACAGAAACCAGGTGCCGACGATCGTTGCAAATAACAAACCGAAAATGCATTTTATGCGATCCTGTATACATATTTTCCATTCTTACAACTAATTTTGCAGAAAGGCAACTGTTATATGCGATCAGCCGAAATGGTATTCAAAGATATAAGTAAGACGATAAGGTAGATGCATTGTATTATGATATACATGCATTTTAATGTTAACACGTGAAGTCTTTCTGTGCAATTATTCGGCCAATACCTTTAACGTAATGTTTGGTGGTTATTTTTCAATATTTGTCATACTCGTCATACATAACTTTCAACTGACAACATTTTTTATTTCAAATCTACAGAATTTTGTTAAAGAAAAACCTGTGTATTTTTGTATCTATTAATATATCTATGCTGGAAGTAATTAATTTTTTAGCTGAATTAATTAATTAGGACACGGCCTGTGACGTAGGCAGAAATGATCTCTCTCCCTACTTCTTTATATTGATCATAATGATATTTATTAGTGACAAATTAGTATATAACTAGGGCAGTGTTACTGATCAACAGATTTGACGCTCTTTTTGATGTCAGTATCTCCGTAGGAGAGTTCGCATTTTAGTAGTCGAAACTGTTATTTTTTAACACATAGACAGGCTGATGACTTTGTTCGTGGACAAGTTTCCTGCGCTACTATTCTTCCATCTATTAGCTTTAACTTGATAGGTTTGGAAGGGTGAAATACGAGTGTTCAGACTAAGAAAATTATTCCAATGGCAATCTCTAATCAAATTCTGAATATGTCAATCATGTATGCTAATAACAGTTTAACATAGTAGTTGATATAATGAACGGTTCTTGAACCCGGAATATAAGTTTCTATGCTAATGTTGATCAGTGCTAATGAGTGCACTTCGAATGCCTGTGGGATTTAAATCTTCCTTTAATCTATGCCGTATCTGTGTACTAATGGTCTAAAATTTACATATTGTTGATTCGCTATACATTATTTATCACTCTTACATTTCCTAGTCCAGATTTGAATATTTTAAATTACAGGCTGTGATGTTGGTATTCGGCCTTAAAAGCTATTTCAATTGCCATTTTAAACCAAGTATTATAATTGGAGTTACCTCCCCTGCTCTTCTTTAATGAAATCAATAACCGTGTAATAGAAAATGATATTTTCCATTGATTCAATAATCAGACACATTGCCTCCCTTGAACGAGAAAAACTTTGACACATTGCCTCCCTTGAACGAAAAAATTTGCTGAACTTTGTATCTATCACAGCGGACAAAAACATTTTGGCTTGTGGTATCTTTTAACAGTTTAGTGAGAATTGTCATCCACCCGATATATTTGGTGCAACTAGAGACAAAAGTGGAATAGCTTACGCAGACAAGAATATATACTGAATATCTCTCTTACTTTAAAGGGTGAAGCCAGGTCGACTGGCGGAATCTGAGAGCTACTAGAATTGCTACAACTGCTTCTGGCATGCATCTGGGAGAATATGATCATAGTTAATATTCCAACATTTTGTCGATACAGCCGTTAAGCTCTGATGCAACGGATTTTTCAAGTCATCATTGACTCTTGTACAGGTCGACGAAATCGAGTAGATACTAGGTGCAAATCGTTGCATCATTCAAGGTCAATGTCTGATACAAATTGGAAGTAGTTCGATACAATTTCCATTAGCATTAAGTGTTCCCAATGGTCTTCATAATGTGGTCTCATTCAATTTAACAAAAGGATAAAGCTCACATTAACTTTGTAATTCTTTTTATATTGTATGCATTAAGCGGATTTCACAGTCAAGATGATTTTGATTAAATTCAAGTTGTGTACAATATTATACATGGAGTGCGGTCAACATTATTTATAACTTGAAACGTTAGGTATTGATTCTATAAACTACAAGGTTTCAATAACGACATTCATAAATTCAGCCTACGGAAATTTTGTTTAAATGAATAGATTGGGAAATTACATCTGTTCCTGCAGACAGAATTATAAATGTAAATTGTTGAAACATTGTGTATTACAGAATCATTTGTAGAATAACATTATATCAACCACCCTTATCACTTATCAGAAGTAGAATGTAACGTACAATAAACAATGATTAGGTAAATAACACTACCGGAAACGGACAATAATAATCCGACTGACTTGCATTAAATAAACTAACACTGCTCACTTAGTTCTCATTTATGTAAATACATACAAGCCTAGCATAGAATTCATTTTGACAAGTGATAAAGGTAGCTAAAATAAGACAAGAGATTAGTAAATCTTATATCCATATCACTATATTCATTCAATAATTACAACTTATTAGGTTCAAGATGTCAAATGTGCAATACGATTATCGGCTGTCCGAAACCTTTTGATTCTTATTTGGACTGAGACTGAGAAGTTTTATATCTGAACTCGTTATGGTTTCTGTAAATCTAGAGTGAATATTTATGGCTCTAAAGGTTGTGGTCCCTAACGCATGGATGATTATCTAAACTATATTGGTCGTAGACAATGCCGGTCATCTTGTGCTACGGAAGCAAAGGAAGCGTCATTTTTTAGATACATCTTATTTAAAGACTTTCACATTTAATGCAGGTTAACATTGTAGTTCAAATACGTGTTTTGTAAGGTTCAGATGGGTATTATAACATGTTGTAAATGGAGATATATATAAGAGATAGCTAGCACAGTCCATATAAGAGTCATCAAGTTTGAGACAGTCTTTCTTGTTTCTTGACTAAGTCATCATCCGTAGCAATTTCACAAAGTCTTTGATCTCGAATAGCCCAAGTAACACACATCAAATGGTATTTGTACATAAGCTTCAATATATTGTTGCCAGTTTAGCAGAACTGAATTTTTTATTACAATTATAAATACAAGAGTTCGTTATTTGTAGATTTGGTCTGGTGTCCATTCTCTGGTATATTTAAGATTTTCTTAACAACCGATCTAAAACTGTATTCTCTGTCTTCTGAAAAACAAACAATTAAAACAAAATTAATGTAATGGATGCTTTATGCTATATTTAAAAACAAATATTCATATATTCGTCTGGTATATTAACAGACTGGGCCAACAGTCTTAAATTAGTTTATTATTTGGAAGACAAAAAGAAGATAATCATGATAGATTCATATATTCGCCTTTGCGGGACAATTTTCCACTTTCAAGATGCACATAATTTTCAAATGGAAGCTTATACATCCGCCGTCCCGTAAACTTAAAACATGGGTCAATATCACAGACATGTTTTCAACGTCCCAAACACACAAGATAAATCTGAGTGATAGGTCTATATGTCTGAGCCAATGCTGTCTAGACATTTCACAACCTCATTCTTTGTAATAGGTTCACTAAACGACCTAAAATGTTATTTTACAAATCATTAAAAACAACCAACAACCCTTCAGGCTATAAATTAAGAATTTGCACCTATCCGTGGAAGCAAAACAATTCCAGTAACCAAACAATGTTTCGAAAGAGTAAGAATGGTCTGCTACTTAAATCTAGGTCATAATCATGAGATACAACCAGATCAATTCATGCCTGAATGATAATATGAAAGCACGTACCTCGTCGGTTATTTTGGTACATTTGGTGTAAAATATATGGTCTGATGATCGACCAACTAATTCTTCTAAACCTTCACAACATACAGATTTCGGTGAACATCGTGATCGTATTTCTGGTTTGGAGGCACCAATAATTATCCAATGTGATTTAATACCTTCAGGACAACATTCAGCCTGCTCAAACTCTGAGCTCTGTATCGTCTGTCCATCTGATCTGCCAAGTCTTGGAAACGCCAGGTATCCCTAAAATTACATTCCAACTTCCATTAGTAAAATGAAATAAAAATATGTATTTTTTTATTTTCCGCTAAAAGACCATTAGGATTGAACAATACAATTAATCTTTCGTTTCCTGTTTTTCATTCGTTTCTTTTTTTTTTGTCATGACTTCTACAAATACTTAAATGTCGGATGATACCGAACTCATTGGATGATGTATGTTATTAACTATGCTAGCTTCGCCATCATCGAGTCCTTTATATAATCATCCAAGATGTCGTTGATCCCACATAATAAAGAATGAAAATGGAATTCTGACTCCGTTGAAATCACCTTGACGCAATGCCTGTAAACTTAAAATGAATATATTATAATCAAGCACATGCAACATGCGAAAAACACACATCCAAGTACATTGAGGTTAATTCAACAAGTTTTTAAATACTTCATAAAGTTTAAAAAAAATTATTTCAAATTCATTCTGCTTTAATATATACTGCATTGAAATGGCAATTATATAAAAAAAACAATCGAATACACCTGTCTTCAAGTGATAATGAAATACAAACTTGCTGTGTAACTCAGTGAACTGTGTGAAATATATTTCTGTATAGAGACTCGCCTACCTCCGAGTTATAGTGAATCGTGTCCAAAATGTAAAGTGATTCCTCGACGTTTTATAATTTTCAATTGATACGAAGGAAGATGAATGAAAATGACACAAAAATGACTCATTCAAGAATTGATATTCATACATAATAAGTCAAGATAGGTTGATAGGATTACACATGTCACATACGTATTATGAACTATAGAATGATACAATAAATACAAATGCTAGAAGACCTCTTTACAATCCCTTATTATATGATCAATTTGAATCACGAAATTAAGACAAAAGATGGCGTCATTTGTGTTACCAAAGGCTAATAGAGACAAAGTGAATTATTGGCAACCATGTTCACATCATCTATCAAAATTGTGTTTATAACAGGTGCTCTTGAGTGTAGTTCATACCTTGCCTTGTTCGATTTTCACTTGCTACTTTATCATGATGTGAAGGGCAATTGCTTCCTTAAGTGATATTACCATCGTGATATCGCAATGTTGTCACAGTACGCAAATAAATGAATGAAAAACGTGACGGTGTTCTTTCCTGAAATAAACAAAATGTGACAATGTTGTTTTCAGACAAAAAATGAAAAGTTGATGTTGATTTCTGATACAAAGTGAAACGTAGTGATGTTGATTTCAGACAAAGAGTGAAACGTGACGATATTGATTTCAGGCAAAAACAGAAACGTGACGATGTTGTTTTCTGATACGAAGTGAAGCGTGGCGATGTTGATTTCTGATAAAAAGTGAAACGTGACGATGTTGATTTCTGATACAAAGTGACGATGTTGTTGACAAAACGTGAAAGGTGATCTGATATAAAGTGGAACGCGACTGTGTTATTTTCTGACATAAAGTGAAACGTGATGACATTGTTTTCAAACATAAAGTGAAACGTGGCGGTGTTGTTCTGACATATAGTGAAATACAACGAAGTTGTTTCCAGACATAAAGTGAAACTTGCCCATGTTTTTTTCAGAAAAATGTGTGAAAAGTAATGGTGCTGTTTTCCGACATAAGGTTATATGTTACAGTGTTAGTTTCTGACATAACGTGATGTTGTGTGGGTTAAAGTGAATAATCCAATGTAGATCATGCCATTATTCAATATATCCTACCCTTATTCCGTTTAGAAGTGTCGGACATTCTGTATATCCATCTGAACATTCCTCCTTCAATTCATCCAGCCAATCATACACTTTCGACAGTGATCTTTCTTCGTCATTTTTTTCCAAACCATCATTTTTCAATATATCAATAAGAGCTATCACATCAAGACCTGTCAGCCAATTTGAATCATTAATGGGCTTTTCTCCCGTAACTGTCATGTTTGAAGTCAATCCCAAATCATCAGTTATTTGTCTGGGTATCGGGTAATAGACTTGCTGCTCCGAACTTTGTGTATCTCGAGGCATGGGGTAGTAACCGGAGTTTGTTGTATCCCTTGGCATGGGGTAGTAAACGGAGTTTGATGTATCTCTTGGCATGGGGTAGTAACCGGAGTTTGATGTATCTCTTGGCATGGGGTAGTAACCGGAGTTTGCCGTATCCCTCGGCATGGGGTAGTAACCAGATTTTGCCGCATCCCTCGACCTGGGGTAGTAACCGGATTTTGCTGTATCTCTTGACATTAAGAAATCGTCGGAGGACCATATATCGGAACGTTTATTCATTTGCATATGTTGGTTCTGTTTTAATGTATTCGTCTGATCCTGTGAAAGTGATGTTTGTTCAGCACCAAATGTAAAACTGGATGCGTCTGACCGTTTTGACCTAACAAGTAGATCTTGTGACATAGACATTTCTGTTCGCTTTCCTTGCAAAGGATAAAAGTTTGTTCGCTTGGCACTTCTTGGCATCGGATAGAAGCCTGATCGCTTTGTGCTTCTTGGCATTGGATAGAAGCCCGTTCGTTTAGAACTTCTTGGCATAGGATAGAAGTCAGTTCGTTTAGCACTTCTTGGCATCGGATAGAAGCCAGTTCGCTTTGCACTTCTTGGCATAGGATAGAAGCCATTTCGCTTTGCACTTCTTGGCATGGGATAAAAGCCAGTTCGTTTGGCACTTCTCGGCATAGGATAGAAGTCAGTTCGTTTGGCACTTCTTGGCATAGGATAGAAGCCAGTTCGCTTTGCACTTCTAGGCATAGGATAGAAGCCAGTTCGCTTTGCATTTCTAGGCATAGGAAAGAAGCCAGTTCGCTTAGCACTTCTTGGCATAGGGAAGAAGTCAGATCTCTTAGCACCCCTTGGCATAGGATAGAAGCCAGTTCGTTTGGCACTTCTTGGCATAGGATAGAAGCCAGTGCGCTTTGTACTTCTTGGCATGGGGTAGAAGCCTGTTCGTTTTGCACTTCTTGGCATGGGATAAAAACCAGTTCGCTTTGCATTTCTTGGCATTGGGTAGAAGCCAGTACGTTTAGTGTTTGTAGGTATATTAGTATCGCCCGATCTTTTAGGCATAATAAATACACTTCTTTGTACTGGTTTGGGACGATTCGACAAAAATTGTTTGCTAATTATGTTTAGTTTTTCGGCCGTATTCCACCAGTCTCTAAAAAAACTAGAAGGCAAAATTGATACAGATTGTACACTTCGTTTGGATATACTAGATCGTGGCATTGGATATTTTCTCCTGTGAATCAGAAGATAATCAGCAAGTGCATCGGGTGTCTTCACAGCGCCATCTTTTTCGTTTGAAATTTCGGCAGAATTTCTGTAAGATCGTGGCATATTGTAACGTCTGGCTAGAAAATCACCAGCAAGAATTCTCTTCTCTTCTTTGTCATTATTTTGGGTCATGGAATCTGCATTCTGAAGCTGTTCAGCTTCTTCAGATCCGCTTGCATTCTCTTGTGGTCCTTGTTTGGAATCTGGCATGTCCACTTCTAGTGATGGACTTTGGTCATTTAACAAAACACCAGGAACGCCAGGTGATCGTGGCATTGGAAATTGACTGGCTCTTTTCGCATCCTGTGCCTCTGGTTGGGATGGTATCAGTTTATCGTTTGTTGGGTGTTTCGAATAATAGCCAAATCGATGTGCTAACTCGTATTTTTTCATGTATAAAGATCTCTTGATACGAGACTGAGTTTTTGTTTTGAAGAGTGGTGTTTTAAGTTGATTGGTGTAGTGGTTGAATATTTGTCTGTCGAGAGGCGGTTGGGTCCTAAGAGACTGGAAAACAAGAGATAAAGGCTGTTTGATCTAGACACAACAATTGAATAATATCAAGCAATGGTATGAAATAATACAATGTGCGAATCAATAATTGAATAGATATATCTGTATACTAATATTCATTTCAATGGATCCTGTCACTCCATCTAAGAGTAGTGAGCAAATATTTTCATCTTTTATTTTAATTTTTGTCTGAATTAAATGCATTTCGTTTCGTTTTGTCTAAAAAAAAAAATCTCTAACCACTCCCAATAATATTGGAATAAAATACAGATCTATTCTGTATCGCTTCTTTTTGTCTACAATATTGCTTAATTACTAGTGTGAGAAAATATTTTTAGTTTCGCATTAATTTAGAAATTCTGTACGATGTAGGACGAAGCCTACAGAAAAGGGGAATATTTGACGAGCGCTCCATGGGCATTAGTCATCAAAAGGGATGATTGTTCATGTTTTGACACATTTATTGCTCTTGTTCGGCTTGAATGATCTGGTTCTTTGTCTGGAATTAAAAGAACCACCAACGTTTACGTTTGACGGAGAACCCTATTGTGCTAAAAAGACTTTATATTTCTGAATTCTCAGAAAATTTCTTAAATAACAATCAGCAACAAAATATTATTACTGTAATATCGTTTGGAATTGAAAATCGTCCTGTATCTGTCGCTGTCTAAATCGGGAACCAATCCATCGCTGGGAGATCTCTCGATCGCAGACGAAATCGCATGGTTTATGTATAACACAATAGAACTTTAGTGTACATTGGGGAAGTCAAGTTGACCATATTACGACAGAATTAATATCATTAATGTATGAATTGATATTTACAAATATTGGAAGCTAAAACTAGCAATTGAGATACATCTTACAGGTTTTTATTTGACCAAGGTAAATTTATTTTATCCAATCAAACCCCTTAACTCTGGGATATAAAAATTGCCCGTCTACTTTATGAAGTCCAAAATTATTCAATCAAACCTTTTACTCCTCAATATGAAGTTTTGTCGAGGAAAGAAAACTGATCCCCAAAAATCTATTGCTCACTGATGGCAGTCTTTATTTTGATTTTGATTGGTGAATATTAACTTCACTTGAAGAAATGTTAACTTGTTAAAAATGTCCTCGGTATCGTACAGCATATTTGTATAACGAAACGAAATTTAATTCAGTACTTTTTAAAAATTAAAACTAAACTCTAATGTAGAAAATAAGCCAGCTCTTGTCAAACCTGTAAATTGAAACATAAAAGACAACGTGAAATTATGTAATTGAAAATCAAAAATTGATAGGATAAAAGTTGCAAGTGTTGGAGAGGAATGATAATTGCTGTGTAAGGATGTTTTAACAGTGAAAATAATGCAAGTGTGATAGATATCATTTTCGCCAACTTGTTCATCAGGAATCGAAAATCAATTTATAATCTACAATAAGAACACAAGTTATACGGATATACTATTAGGTTTATTACATACTACGTTTCGGAACACATACAGACAACGTTATCAAGTAAAATGATTAACAATGATTAATGATTAATGATTACCTATATCTTGTGTTGTTTGGTTGTTAATCATTTTACGTGATTACGTTACCTGTATGTGTTTCGATGAAATGAACCTAGAAGTAGTATATCCATATAACTTGTGTTCTTAATGTTTACCTTTCTGCTTCTAAGATTATAATAATCTACTTGTCTACAGAGCTTCAACAACTTGACCGAGGAATTTGTCTGACTTTTTTCTGAGGTTTTGAAACGCAACGAAACGATGCACTGCGTTCACACACACGTCAATATATGCGAATAGGTCTATAATCTATGCAAATGTTCAAGGACCAATTCGAACCTATGCACTAAAACACCTACACATCTAAACGAATACATCATTCGCTATCTGTGTAATTCGATATTTCTCTAATAATGGTTTCTTTTAATTAAATTCGACCCCGTCTACAATATGTTTTATAAGTTATAATAAAGCTAATCATTTGTGAAGAGAAGAATTGTAATTTTAATGATTTTACCATTTGAATTCATCAAGTGCAAGTGCTTACAAACTAGAGACTTATTTTTTTCAAATTTTCACGTTAAAATCAACTAAGTTAACCTTTGTCGTCGTTTCTTTCTTGCTTTTGATTTTGTATTGTTTTCTGAATTTATAAGATTCAATCGACTGCAAAACGAGATTAAATCGAGATCTCAGCGAATAACAAACAATTGTCAACTTCAGTGGTGGAAAAAGAGCGAGCAAGAGTAACACAGTCATTATATACCAATTAAATCCTTGACCAAATGAAGCCGTTATCTAGACAGCCGCCAAACTATGTCGCTGCTCTTGTGTTCTTATACAAGTAATAAGATAAGATAGTAAACAAGGTGCTTCAGTGAAGGCTTTTGTTCATTGTAACATCTTTCTAACGCGAATACACCTAAATCATTTCTAAACCAGTCTTAACATGCTAACTGGCGGTTGCCCTTTCATAAGATTTTTGCTGCATTTGAAATTGCAGTTAGTAGCTTAGGGCAACAAACATTTTATTTGCTTTAGTTTCTAGAAGATAGTTGTCAAATAAGCTTATTACAATTTTACAATTCAAATAACGTTGAACGATTTACTGACATTAAAATGCATCCGCAACATCAGTTTGGACAAACAAAAATTTATTTTTCTTCAGTAGTAGAGTTGTAAAAAAAATTGGTTTCACGATGACAGTTGACAGCATAGAAGGTAGCTAGCTAGAGCTGCACGAGTGTCCACGAGTAATCCATGTTAAGCTAAAAGCCAATCAATGTCTTGTTTAAGACAGGCAGATTACCAATGAAAACAACCCTGAATACCAAAATAACAAAATACCAGGAGAGAATAGGACTCTATCTATATATGGAAATCAGAGGAAAAACCTTCCGTGATAGTGAAATAAAGGCCTTTTTAAACCCACGATTCATCGACTGTTTGTTGACAATTGTAAGATTTACAATATTTGTTTCACTTCACAAAGACATCTTTAGAATCAAAGCCATGATCGCTGGTAATTTGAACAATATTTGACAGTATTTATTACAGGATCATACTTTTGTGAATGTTTCCATCTTTAATTATATGTAAAATATTCATTAACTATTGGAAACAAACCTCTTTCTTTTCCCAAACATACAAATTGTATTGCGCGAAAGACAAAAGGTTTTAGAACACTGAGATAGTTGGTTTTAAAGATAAAAGATGTACTCGATTTAATTATAAGGCTTTAATAACTAAGGACATATCTCAACTTCCAAATCGATTACTGAAAAAAAGTGTTATATTCTGTTCAATTTCGTAGGAAAATACCATACATGCAGATTACACAGAGGGAATCGGGACAGAGATTTAAAATTAGTAAATGGTAAGTGATCGTTTGGTGTACAAATGGCAGTGACGGGATAGGGTCATCTTCACAATGACAAATTATTAAACTTTGTCAAATACCTCAATATCAACAGGCACGGAAGTTCTGAATTACGCTAACGAACACAGTCAATCAGAAATGAAATGAAATGAATGGAGTTTTACGTCCTTCTTTTCTGCCACAGTCAATCAGAGCCCCTTCGTACAAACATATGGCTGCACGTGTAACAATTAAATTGTATCTGCGTTTTAAACTTGTATTTGGATTCTTTTAAAAAAAGGGGATTTATTTGCATTTCACGAACATATACGAGAAGAGAAGAGCTTATTGATGTCGAGATAATAGATGACGTTCGTAAAAACTTGACATTGTGAAGATGGGAGTGGGTAGATGGCAGGTTCCTGTAACAAAGTATTAATACAATCCATTTGTGTTCAAGCAACATTTCTCTAAGTCGAATAGGGAATGGATAAAGATCATCACTCAGGCAGCTAAAGAGTATGGATATTTCTTAGTTTAAAGCGTGGCGTCTACCAATGCATCTTAGTTTTATATAATATCTATCTGTAAGAAGCCATTAAGCTATTTCAAGGTGGTCGCTTTGACAATGGTCGTAGATATACATTGGAAATGGGAGGAGGAGTATACCGGAAGCAGGAAGTGTGAAGGATGTGACGCATGTGCAGTGAGAGGGTGCCTACCGTATCAACAGCGACGTCACTAACTAGAGCTCGCCTCCCACGAGGGAAAGCAAAAGCTTGACCGTTATAGCGACCATTAAGTTTATCAATGGCCGATCTAGGCTGTAAGGAAATAGAAGCAAAAGAAACACAAATTAGATAAAAGCAATTCTAAAAGACAATAGAGAACCTTTTAACACAATACTTTAAAAAGGAAAATCTAATTCTAATATGGTCGATTGTACAGTAAAGAATTTCACTAATATAAGGCTATTTATAGATAGTTAGTTGGATCGACGCTTTATTGGAAGAACCAGTCCCATGGGTTCGAGTCCCATACTATTTTTATAACTGGAAACACTCTCATTTATTGTCGTTAATCAAGCAAATCACTCCTCATTTTAAATTCATCTCATAACTACCCCGACACAAAAACAAGTAGTTCACGAAGTCCCATCTTCACATTACGAACTTCGTCTTATACCTTGACTGCAATAGCCATCTTTCCTGTGCCACATAAGTTTGTAGATGCAGAGCTTTGATTAGATTGTACGCCAGCGAATACAGAAAATCAGAGAGCTCAACAAAAGGACAATAAGCCATAATGATTACAGTCTTTATATTGAGAAAAAGTGGTTGTATTCGCTTGTGCACAATCCAATCAAATTGCTCCATTCGGTGATAGAAGAATGGTAGCTTGTGCAGTCAAGGTACACGATGAAGTTCGTAATAGCTTGACATTATGAAGATGACGAAACCCTGATCCTGAGACTGCTACAGGTTGCGATAAATGATTTTTTGATTGATTGTCGCCGGTTTGCACATGTATAACGGATTTTTTACACATTTACACCACGACTTCCTATAGATTTTACATTACTTGCATGGATGAATAATGTGTTTATATATTCATTCGTTCGTGCTCGCAAATTAGATATCCCCCATTCTAAATTGTGTGATAAACTTAAATTTATCGAGATATGATAATCTGAAGGAAAAGGACACGTGTGCGCACACAAATCAGTTTGGCCATTAATCGAATTTTATGATTTAGCTTGCATTCAGATAGAATTTAACTTTCTAGCGGTTCGGATCGTTAGAACTTGGTTTATTTATTTCTACTTTTTAGTGAACACGCCATGTTAATTCCAACCAAGAAACGCTTGCCAGAAGAGCGACTAACTAATGTCGGGATCACAGTCTACTAGTCTCGCTAATCGATTTCACATCTAAATATCAACATCAACTCAGGCACATTTTTCATTTCAAATAGCCCTTTAGAGTATATGTCAGAAGGACGAGAATCAAAATAATTTTTCCATTAATGAAATTCTCTAGTGTAAAGGGACCCTAAACAGCAAAAGCTACAAATAATTCAAATTGATTATTAATACTCAAACCTCGTAAATTTGCAACCATCAACACAATATAATAAATGGAATGAAATAAAGTCAATACACCAGCATTATTTTCCCCGTGGATGGTTGCATATTTGAAGAGTTTAGAGTTGATATTAAAAAGCATCTAATGGAATCTAAATATGGATAACTATATCCTAGAATTCTAAAACATTGAAATGAGGAAATTATTTATAAAATCGAACTAAAAAGAAACGCACGTGTTTAATGCTTAATCTTTGTTAAATTTTTGCTTTGAATCATATCTACATGATGATCTGATTTTATCAACAGTTCTTAAAAATATCGCCTACCTGACAGTTTACACACATGTGCGTTTCTTGAGTACAGAGTATATATATTATGTTACTAAACAATGAATTTAGTATAATGAAAAACTAGTATCTATAACTATACATCATTAAAAACAGTACGTAAGAGGAAAACAAGGAAGTTTAAAATGTTCTTACCGATCTTCCCAGTCGTGGAAATGCCATATAATTCTGAAAAGAAATCATCGAAATAATTAAATAAGTTTTATTTTTCAAAAAAAAGGAGAAACGCAAGATTATAAAATTCATCATTTTTAGTAAAAATGTAAAATTGTGATTACGAACATAAAACGCTCGTTCTCATATTTCAAATATCAACATCAACTTTGATTGTTTTTGTCCTTTTATGAACATCTTTGACTGTAAATGAACCGACCTGCAGTAACAGCAGGTGGGAAGCGAATCAAAGAGTACTGCACGGTTCAAGGATTGAAAACAATATTTTCAGTGCTCTGTCACTAGGTAACTGACGATTCCAAATTTCTTCATTCTAAACTAAATGGATTTAATGTTTCGTCTATTAACTCATGTGAGTTTTAAGTTGAGAGGATAGATTCGATCAATGACAATAGGAAAATGACTAAAGAAATGGTAAAACTGATTGAAAAAAGCGGATATGAGAAGATTTGAATAGTCTAGTTAAGATGAGAATGTATCCGTTTAACAATTGATATTGACTGTAAAGACCACGCTTTCTATCTCCCACCCAACCGCTTCCTAATAAGGGAAGTCAACGAAATGTGTACACATTCATGACGCAATGGCTTGAAGACAAATTTTACGATTCATTAAATGTTTTTATTCAAAGTCTAGGTCACATTTACTGGAGTAAAATAATTTCCGTCATCAGCACTTAGAGAAGACAACTACAATAACGAGAGTTTTACGTGTTATTTTCTGCATCTTACTTGGTTATGGAAACTTATTGGGAAAGACATATATGTCCAAATTTATTTGATGAAATGCTTTTTCTCTCTGAAATGATTTTTACGCCAAGTGTATGAAATTATTTCTAAGTCTAGCTTCTGAAATGTTTTGACGTCTAGCGAATGAGATGATTTGACGTCTTGCGAATGAAATAATTTGACGTCTAGCGAATGAAATGATTTAACGTCTTGCGAATGAAATGATTTAACGTCTTGCGAATGAAATGATTTTTACATCTACCTTCTGAAATGATTTTTACATCTACCTTCTGAAATGATTTTTACATCTACCTTCTGAAATGATTTTTACGCCAAGTGTATGAAATTATTTCTAAGTCTAGCTTCTGAAATGTTTTGACGTCTAGCGAATGAGATGTTTTGACGTCTAGCGAATGAAATAATTTGACGTCTAGCGAATGAAATGATTTAACGTCTTGCGAATGAAATGATTTTTACATCTACCTTCTGAAATGATTTTTTATACTAGTGAATGAAATGATTTTTAAGTCTAGCAAATGAAATGATTTATAATTGAAATGATTTTTAAGTCTAGCGAATGATATATTTTTTACGTCCTGCTTTGATGGCTTCTTCTTTATAATATATTTATCCATCTGCAACTATTGCACCTGGGAGCTGGTGTAATTGTAATCTCAATCTTGACAGACTTGCCATTAAGTAACTCTTCCCCCTATTTGTATCCCGGAGGCTGGCACCACCATTGTTTCAGACATTACACAATCTACTATATTCATTGTACCGTGGTATAAACAGCTCTCATAAACAATAGAATAACACTTGACGTTCTTATCATTGACAACAATTTCATTAGTATTATCGTTCTTTACCCAAAAGAGCAGTGTCAAATATATCGTGTATTCTGATTCTGTTATATCGAGGCTTGTTGACTCTGGGCAAGCCACTGATAGGTATATATAATGGGCTAAATTTGCTGAAATATCAAGTATTTGACCTTGATGTTACAGATAGATCAGATCTGACAGTCCTTCAACGATATCTTCCACAAGAGATACGTATATGTATCAGAAATGTAACAGTAGTACATTTCTACAAATTCACTCTTTAATGCTTTCTTTTCTTTAATCACTTTTGTTTTCTGAACAAGTTAAAATTGACAACGTGTCCTGTTTTTCTTGTACACGCCAGTCTTAATTTCATTACTGTTTTTTAAAAGTGAAAATTGGGTATTTAATGCGAATGTCAAACCAGTGTTAAATGGTAATACTTTAAGATTGGTTGATCAATACAGATCTAATGGAATTGACATATCATTCTCTTCTTTCTGTTATCATACGGAAATAACCTTAAACTTGATTTCCAATTTTTGTTCTTATGTTTTACCACTACTTTGATAAGTGGCGCTTCTGTAAAGCATTAGCAATCGTATCTACGGCGGCCATTCTCGCTACGCCTGACAATAACCTTGTATGCAAATATTAGGTCATGTGACAATAACTTTATGTCATGTAACTAACATCTGAAGAACTATATTTTGTAACGCGGATTTAACTTCCGCCTAACAATTAAAGTAGATCTGCATACGAGGTTATCATCAGGCTTAGCGAGAATGGCCACCTAAGATAGCAATAGCAATAGCACCAGACACTTAAGAACTCAATGGTTTGAAATTTAAAACTGGAGGTGGGTGGGGGGAGGGGGCAACAAACGCCGGACCAGGGGGGTAGCAAATTACACTAAGGAAAACTTATATTAACAGTTTTATTTATGGACCTAAATCAGAATTTTCACCCGCCACCCTCGTAGCCCCGAAGACATGTTTTTCGGGCAAAAATCTAGGTTGGAATTTCGGGCAACCTTTGACATTTCGATCCCCCCCACCCTCTTCTGATGAAAACCTGGCTCTGCCACTGCTAGTTACTTGATCTGTGCAGAAGAGTAGGACGTAAAACCCCATTCATTCCAAAGTCCCGTGTGCTACAGACTGTGTACGTTAAAGATAGTTGGAAATTGAAAAAGAGTAGGCGAATGTCGCTGTCATGGAAAAATTTCCCTCATAGCACACTGTATGACGTTGCCCGTCGTCATTAGCCCAAAACGGTGAAGAAGGTAGGACGTAAAATTCATTCATTTCATTTCATTTTTCAATTTGTAATATCGACATGTTCAGTCGACCCTGTGATAAAACCATATCATACAAATGATAATTAATGCTAGGTGAAGTGACCCACAAAATTAAAGATTACCCGCAATTAAGACATTTACATGATATCAGGCCGTAGCCAGATCTGGTTGTCTTGAGGTTCAAGTAATATATCCGGAGGGGCAATGGTGTATGGTATTTTGTTGCAGTAATAGAATTATTCGATTTTTTCAGAATGGTATTTCATATCACAATTACCATCGATATTTAAATAGGAAGTGTAAGGAACTGTAGAGAAAGATGGCAAAGATAAAAAGGGAAGATAAATATCAGATAATCAATGTCAGGTTTAAATCTCAGTTTGATTTGTCTCGTCTGTCATTTACACTATCCTTAGTCCGATACTGACTCTTCTAGAGCGGGGTGGCGTCACGAGCGCAGGGCTTGATTCCGTCAAAGGCCGAGATGGACCTCCTTTTTTTCTCAGAGCGCCTCATCCGGCGATACAGGGCCTAATCACTCAAAGGTGAAGTAAGCCGAAACCTGGTGCACTACAAGCGGTACACATTAGATAGCCATCAGCAATTGATGGCGCTGTTCTGGTAAGATTTCAATGCAAAACTCTGTGTCTTTTTTTTTTAAGTAAGAGCCCAAATCTCCATTTCTGTTTAATTGTTTGGTAGTGTTCGGACTATTGAGCTACTATCTAACAATTAACAATAGTAGAGCTAAGTAAATATCGGTATTTATATATGACTTTATATTCTATTAACTACCGTCATATCATTTATCAACTAGTCTCTCTCAGGCATAAATAAATACTTTTCACCCAGTATCCAGTCATACTGGAAATAGAGCAGAGTACTTCGTCTGACGGATAAAACAAATAAATAGTTCCACTCCACTATCGGACTCGAAATAAAATGAGACATGTCCTTCAGTCCGGCCTTATTAAGTTCCACACAGTATCTAGCCCCTTAGTTGCCAACCTGGGGTGTTTTCACCCCCCTGGGGTGTGAGACTAGGGTGTCAGGGGTGTGGCCAACTAGTGTAAGAGATGAATTTAGGTTGAGAGCACCCCACCTCATCACATGGTGCAAATGTGGATGAAACAAGTTTTGGGGGTGTGAAAGGTCCATATGATTGCTCCAGGGGTGTGAAAGCTGAAATAGGTTGGAAACCACTGATCTAGCCCAACTGAAAATAAAATGATATGATGTTTTACGTCTACTTGGCTTGCATTACCACCTTATCTGAGGCTGTGTTTTCAAGTCGATAATAATTACGGATATAATCCATAATTGGTTTTTTGAAATAAAAAGAAATCTTGAAACTAAAACTTAACAAATATAAGGACCGTGACTGTATCATATCTAATCATCCTGTGGTGTAATTGGTGTGCACTCTGTAACTGGGTTTATCAACTCGAAAACGTTTAGGGAGAATCCATGTTGGTTTGTTGAAAAGAAATTGAGTAAAATTATATCTGGTATAGTGATACCTTGATTAAAACATGGCTGACGACCTTGAGGGTAATTTGTGGTTCAGGGACACCACATATCTCTCTGTGAGTGAGTTTTCAACTGGATTTTCCTGTCAAGAGTACCTAAATGTTTGTGAAAATAAAAGTAGAGATTTAAAGTGAGGTTTAATATAATATATCATCATGATTATGTGACTTGCTGCAGGTTATTAATATGATTGGTTTCTGTTCATATTATTTTTAATGAATCAGTCATTTATTACTATTGTTTACTACAATTAATATATTATTAACTTTATTTCTGATATCTGTCAAAAATATTTGTTCAATTATCGAAAGCTCAGATTTCATTTTTTCAGAATACATATAGTTAAGAGAAGAATATTTCATATATTTAATCGGCAATTGTATCGAAAGAACATGTCTCAAAAAATCCTACAAAAATATAGGGTGGAATTTAAACTATACTACAAAAGAATACTGCTAACTTCAAGTGAGAATAAAGAAGACTAGTCTTCTTCACTAGTCTAAGAAAACAGCAAGAAAGAAATTTCGTTGCAGTAAATAAAAATATTGTCGCACACTGGTTGTGGAACTCTGAACGCTAGGGGCCTGATGGAACCACAACAGTTGTAACGGA